AAAACTTCATTTTGAACTGCTTCCATTGTTTAAATTGTTGCACATAGGTTCACACACGTACAAGATTCACGAGGAAACTAAATCACAGAAGTAAAAAAATAAAGCATGTGTCAAATTTATATTCTTAATATTTGAGCAACTACAGACAGCTACACAACTCACCAGGTCCTGTATGGATCCGCGTTACGACACCAGCTAGCTCGTAACAGCAAAGATACGTCGAGTTCATACTGGATAACTATTGAACGAATCAGAATCGGTCACCTGGTCAACCGATTGAACAGTCAAGAANTCTTCTGCATTGTTGTTGTTGGGTTGGGTTGGGGGGGGCTAAGCAACAGTCGCTCTTTTTAACTGTACGCCTAGGCCGAACAATCAATTCTTATCCGCAAGTGGCAGCAGTCTCAAGTTAAAAATTAAGTTGCATGGAGGTCTACTGTATTTGAGCAGGCAGAGGTTGCTCATGGAATTTCGTCCTAAGAATTGTTTTTATCCTTCCTTGATTAACCGATAAGTGATCGAAACGAGAATTGCTACAACCAAAACGAATTTAGGAAGTTTCATCATATGTACACCCACAATCTATCTATCGAAGCCATATTGTCCTAAACTGAATGCTGCACGAACAACCCTGATAAATACATATACTCACAGAAAATAACTTTGTATAATAAACAGTTAGCGGAACACAAAATGTGCAAAGTTATTATTAGTCAAAATGAGGCCTTGGGAATAAGGGATGTTGAATCATAAGTGAGAGTCTGAAAGCGAAAAGGTTCTGTCAGTGGAGTTATCTAATACAGAAGCGAAATGGCCGTTAAAACATGATGTTTTTATAGACTAACTTATCTAACTATCGTTAATCTAATTTTGGAGTCCAACTTGGGTACCAACAGGCCGCAGATGGGTTGCCATAAACCAAATAGGTGAATAGCCGTGAGTAAGACCGAGGTTCAGACTTAGTGAATTATTATTGGCGGATTCAAAATATGAATTTTTATTTCGTGACTGTCGTTCCCGTGAGATTTACTACATATCGCACTTTGGGTTAGTGAATTACTATCACAGTTCCGCAACACAGATGTGTTGGTACCGAGCTCCGTTAAACCAACTACTGAAACAAAAACACCGAAAGACACTGGCACACACCTGACACTGACACACCTGCATTCGGTGCAATCAACAGAATTCTCACCTCCGATTTGCTTCTCATTCACTATNACTATGGAGTCGGGGCCACGTATTCCCAGATGGCAATAATAAGGCAGTGTGTTAAGTTTCCGCAGCGGAAACGATCCATAGTCAAATTGAAAATGAAGGTCTGGCATTGTTTTCGCATTCAAAAAATCCGTTAGGTGTTGCATGAAAAAAACAATTCACCTTGTTTACTGATCACAAACCGTTGCTAACCATCTTTGTTACGGTGATATGGGCCCCGGTACATATTGCAAATCAATTACAACGCTGGGACAATTTTAACTTACAGTTCATGAAATCGACAAGTTGCGAACAAATCGATACCCTCACCGAGCTAATTGCTCTTCATGGGAATCGTCTTGCGGAGGAGGATAGTGTAATCGCATCAATCGCTAGGGATTCTGATGTTCAGTTCGTTTTTGAAGATGTGATGCATAACTTACCTGTTACTGCCTCAATAGTCCGGCATGAGACGTCGAGAGATAGACCATTGCAGGAATTGATGTCTTATTGCAGAACCACTTGACTTAAAAACCTTAAGCACAGAGTTTATAAATGATTTTAAAATGTACGTTAGTCTTGTCTGATGAACACGAATGTTTGATGCTCGGAAAGCGAGTTGTTGTGGCATAAACATCACAGTCAATGATAGTGAGACAATCTCATCACGACCACCCTAGGATCAGTAACCTAAAGGTAATCGCTAAAAGTTACGCATACTGGCCATACGTGTTGCTAAAACTTGTTTAATAGAAGCTAAATTATTGCTTAACGCTGAACCTTCGGCAGCCCCTGAGTCGCGCATTCACATGTTCAGTTTTCAGTGTATCGCTCACTATTAAACGGTCCGACAGAACGGTTTGTTGACCCGTTTAAACGTTATCTGATCAAATTACAAAACGGAGGGTAAACTAAAGCGGTCAACTGATACATTTCTTCCTACGTACCGCTTGGCCTCCGACCGAACTACCCCAGAGAAGAGCGCTGGCTGAATTGTTTCTTGATCGACGAACGAGGTTAGTCTTCGATGATATGATTTCGACAGCGCAAAATATCGCTAAATCGTACACTATTAAAATATTGACGTTAAACTGAGAATATAGAAGGCAGGAGACCAAGTTTATGTACGTAATTATCGTAATGGTGAAATGGAGGAGATGGATTTCGGG